AATTGTGATGTCTACATTGAAAAGTAATTGTTTATTTTAATCTATTTTTTTCACATTTATGCAGTCAGTAATACGGAATTTAACATAAAGAAAAGTAAAAACCGTGATAAAGTGTGGTAAGATAAGTATATTTAGAAATTTTTAAAATTCCCCCTACTTACGAACAAATTCGACTTACAACCCTTTGGAACGGAACTAGTTCGTAAGTCGGGGGATATATGTTTGATTTAATTTATGGAAAACATTATTTAACAAAACATGTATATAGATTTGAGAAATTCAACGTAAATAAGTATACTGGGTTTATTACAGATTTAATGCCAAACGTATAATTATTGGAAATACAAAGTAAATAATTAAATGTACTGGGTTCATTAGCAAATTTATAATTAGTCAAATAATCGAGAATGTGTTGATATGAGGGAGATAATTTTCCGAATAGAACGTGACTAAGCTAGAAAATTAGTTATTCAATGTATTTATGTCCAATCAATGAGTTGTAAACTAAACTTACCTTTAACAGAGTTACGAATGAAATGCCTCAAAGCAGAAACAAACCTAAGCTCCGTGAAACGTTGATAGATGTAAAATCCTTTCACGCAAATCTTAGTAAATGAACCAACAACAGTAAAAAAAATGTAAATAGGTCAAATTTTACTTTCTTCATTAACTCCGCATGCAAATTGCCAGATAACACTTATACTTATAATTTGAATTAGTAAAGTCCGTCGTATTTGTTAAACGTGTGATGTTAGCGAAATTGAGCTCAGGTCGGGATTGAAGTTTTAATTAAGTTACTCGACAATATTACTCCACATAAATCTTATTTGCGGGAACGTAAAATTTACTTTGTATTTACTTTGTGAGCGTGACAGAACTTATATATAGGGTTTCGTCGTTTTAATGGAGAAATTGATTCCGCAAAGGAAATTCCGTTAGTATTAAGATGGTGAAGAAGTAAGAAATGTGCGGCCGTTAGAAGGCAACCCCTCGCTGAGAATTTTTTTTACAAGGAAGCTTCCGCACAATGGTCCAATCCTGCGACAGCTGTCTCATTGTTAGGATAATAAAATCGGGGATTTTGCACTTACAGGTATATAAAGGAGAGGTTGGTAAAATATTAAAATAAACCTAAGTTGTTAGGTATACAATTCTCGTGTATTTCCGTAACGAGAGGAATGGGACGAGTATTTGGAAATACAATCAACGTTTGTTTTCATTTTAAACTATTTTTAAATGTAAATATTTAATTACGTGAGTACGAATCTTTTTAGAGATTCAAGGTTACCTAGCTAGTCTATTTATTGGATATACTCATCTTCATTTACGTTATAATAAGGTAAAACTCCTTTTTATTAAGTTGTCGTTTATTAATAAAAATTTCAACGTGTCGGAAATACTAAATATGGTGTAATATCGATAATTCTACTGAAAATGCTTTAGTGTATAGCAGGGTTTCTCGAAAAGTAGTACATTTACAAGTCTCAAGAGACATATTTATGGTATAACTATAAGTAATGTAGCACGTAAGCAATATAGAAGACCCTTGTTACAAATCAGCTGATATAGAGAGCAGCCAACTAGGCTATATATGAAAGACTTTAAACTTAATAGTCTCCTAAAAATCAATCTCAACGTATCTTGAACGCATCCTCGTCTATATTGGAGATGCTATTTCCATCAACATAGCACTATGAGTCAACAATTACTTTTAGAGTTTAAATGAAAAAACAGATTAAATTTTACTTGAGAATACATTAGAGAGAATAAAGAAATGAATAGAAGTTGCATACTTTAATATATAGTCGATTTCGCTTAATCGGGACACACTGGGACTAGTACATTAAGCGGCTGGTCCAATTATCCGAAGTTCCACAAAAATTACAGAATTAGTGCACAAAATAAAACAAGTCACAAAACTAAACACATATACATATTAAGAAATTGTATACGTACTACATAATAAAATTATATACATTCTTGAACAATAAATATGTATGTATCAGGGGCGTTCATGGATGCAACTCAAGCTCAGCATCCATGGACCACGGTGATTCACACATGATTACTGTCCCGATTTAACGGAATAGCGGAGTAAATTTGTATTATTTACTTAGTTTTGTTTCCGTTCTTTAAGATTTGTCCCTAAAAAGCGGCTGTCTCTATTAACCGGTGTCCCAAGTAAGGGGAATCGACTGTATTAAAATTTTGAGAATTTTATTTCATTTTTCAGAATTCAAAACATTTATTATAGTAAACAAACAAATTAGTCAATTAAGTATATTATAACCTTTAAGCACTAATTATATATCAAAAAAGGGTCTTTATACACAAACATAAAACTGTCTCGTTTTGCAAAAAATTGTCTACCGTATATATTCGGGTGATTTTATATGTGAAACCAATTCATGATTACACGTATTAACTCGGGTGAGCGGAAAAAATCAGATTATTGGACCCGAGTTAAGTCGCTTGAATGCGTTATGCGGTAAATATATTTTTTTTATACTTTTTTAGAAAATATTTTCAATAAAAAAATGGTTAACCTGAAGATAAAATAAGCCTTAGACTAATCGATTCACAGCAATCCGACGACCATTTGTCATACAATTTTTATTTTAACGTAACGAATGTCATCCATATTTATTATCTCTATAAATTTACTACTATTAATATTAGTTATTTATACTTTAGGTAAAATGTTTGTTTTTGAAGATCATTAATCTATATAAATGTTACAACGTTTCTATAGTTTTTATTCTGTTCTATTTTTGTTTTGTTTATATAACATTTGTATCATATATTATCCATACATGAATTGTTTATATTAATTATGTGTCATTTATCACATAGAAACTTACTGCTTGAAAGTTAAGCAAAGATGATTGCACGGATGATACGAATACATGTTGCAATTCGTGGACAAAAATTGTTAAGTCTTCCTAAAATTCGTAAAAACGAACCAAATCTAGGATTGTAGTAGGATTTATTTAAAATGCTTTATTTAATCATGGTTTATAATCATTTCAGGTGTGGATGCAATACGCATTAAATTTATTATGTACTTAATTAATATATACGTATTAATAAAATTGAAGCTCATAAAGTAAAATTAAATTAAGCCATTATATAACATGCATTCGATCAATAGGTATATATTTGGAAACCATAGTGAAGTATAAACCAATTATTTGAGTTGAAAATATATTTTCATTATCAAATAATTCATAAATTTGATAATTGTTCTACATATTTATTTGTTTAGTTATGTTTTTCAAAATTGCAAAAATATAGCAATAGTACTGCTCCGATCAGTCCGGATTCACTATAGTCCAGTGTAAAAATTTAAAAATATTAATTTTTTAGTCTGATTTCAAAAAATCAGGGATATTGGCAGAACCGATTACCCGCACTATGCGAAGTATTGCTGTAATTGATTGTAATAATTAAACTTCTTCAAAGATTATGTACTTTTTCTTAAAAAATAACAATTAAGTGTTCTATTAACATTTTCTTTTACTAAAATAAAAATGTTCGGAAGCTCTAGAAATCTGTACAATAACTTTGCAGATGATATCTGATGATTAATGATGCAATAGATATAATAAAGGTTAGTACTGAAATAAACTATATAATAATAGAAATTCAAGATACCATAAAAATATGAATACGTGGGTTAAACTTGATTATATAAATCTATCTTGAAAGCGCGGACATTGCACCCAAACTAGAACGCGCTCAGAAATTAAGTCTAGAAGTCGTGTAATTACAGGGAAGCTCTACAAATTGCAATCACATAAATTCCGCAAAACACAAGGGATTTAATTACTTTCTATATTATACAGACATACGCTTTTAACGTCCTTCAAATGATATAACTTTTGGTAACGTTGCAACCAAATGACAATGTAGGTTATATTATATTGTATAAAGACGAAAACTTTAAATACTTGAGAAATAAACTTTGGTAGTTAAGGAAATGCGTATATAGAAACGAATATTTGATGCAATTAAGAGAAAAAAAAGTAGTAGTTATAGATACACATCAATACCGGACAAGTTACTTGTAAAAATGAGCGTAAAAAGTAACAATTTTAGATACGTTCTTATTAATTTCAATGAACATCATGAAATCATCATATTTTCTGGATTCAGTCTTAATTAATAAATCCACAAACTATTATATTTTATAATTAAACCGCATTAAAGTTAGGAAATACTTCCAAACAATTTAAATTATATCTAATGTCGCTTTTTATATTTTTAAGATCTTATCAATAAAAGTACGTTTAGTAACCATATTACAGTTTAACCAGGTTTATAAACATCAGTTATTGATATTTAAAAAAAAAACAAATAATTATATAACTGCTGTAGAGCAGATAAAATATAATTACTAAAATTTGTAGATAACACAATCCATTAAAAACTTGTGTAAAAAAAAAAACAAAATTATGTTTTTTGTCGACAAATTGGATTGCTTTTTCAATAGAAAAAAAATCATGTAATTGATACAATAAAAAATTGAGCACAATTCAATCAAAAACAAAAATCAAACAAAAATTATTAGTTTCGGCGAGATGAAAGGGATTCAAAGAACACACGGAAATTAATTAGATGAAAAAAAAAAGAAAACAAATCAGGGTAATTAAATAAATACAATTTTATTATGTTTAAAATACAGATAAATATATATATATAGGTTTTTTTTTCTTGTATATATTTTTCGTTCTACATAAAAAGTTTAGTTGTATATTATTATTTACAATGTATTTGGTATAAATGTTTTGTAAATTACGAACAGAAATTAAAAAGTATCTACTTTGGATATGGAGTTCTGGCATAGGCAACCAAAAGTACACCAAGCATCAAGGACTTGGGTTCGAAAGGCACTCGTGAGAATTCGAAGCGTTGCTTGATTTGGAAGGCCCCAAGGTTGTGTTAATTTTTGTAAAAAAAAATGTAACTGGTTTCGAGGGGGGAAGAAGAGATTTTGTATGTTTTTTTTTGGTTAAAAGCTCTGGTCGAAAGTTACCTGAAGACGGTCACATCTATTTTAGAAGGGGTTGGGCGGCAGTTACACAACACCTATAACCAAATAGAAGAAGAAAAGAGATAAAAACTCTGCTAGAGTTTTTTTTGTAAATGCTGCTGCATTGGGTTTGATTATAGGGGTTCAATGGTTATAATTTACAGGCTGAACGTGTAGCTTTGTGTTAGTACAAGATGCATAGTGTTTTTGTGCTCTAATTTACTACAGTTTCGTTAGATTTGATTCAATGTGCTCTCCCTTACAAACATCCATTCACCATCTACCATAATATATTTACAAATCAATTTGTCGATTGAAAAACATTATACTAATACAATGTGCATTTACATCATTTTCTTGCTGTTATTTTACTTTTACGAATCTACACTATCTACAATTTATAACTAAATTATTAGTAAGATTCGTCTAACATCCTTTTTACATTTTCAAGATTTGTAGAAATCAAGAACAATTAATAAATAATTGCATGATAACTCCAATTTGGGTGTGTTATAACGTCTAAAATAAGAAAACGTGAGAAACATACGATAATAAATCTTCAAAGGAAGAATCTTTCAACCTATCATCCACCGTTAAGTATTAAACTTTCACTGCAGAACAATAATTCACGAGTGAAAATCCGATTATATAAGAATATATCGTAATGTCTGGAAATTTATATCGGAATTCCAAAACAATAAAATCTTGCATTGCAACAAAATCTATGCATGTTACAAGCTTATACAAAAATAGTTATGTTTTCAATTTTAACACATTTTGCTTTTAGAAACCAAATAATAAATACGACATCAACACAATAACTAATAATTATTATAAAGATTATTAAAATAAATTTTCTAGTAAATATTACTAAATGTAATTCAATTTATAAAGTAGTCAATTTAGCAACTACAATAATAAATATAAAAAAAATCAGACTTTATAATTTATTATTCTCCAAATTGTTTCTTAATGCTAATATTTTTGGTAACTGATTCGATTATAGTAAACTTATTTAGATTTGGGAAAACATACAGGAAATTATTTAATCAAATAACGTCAGTTAACGCTTGCTGAATATAAATATTTAAAAATTAGCAACTTTAATTTAAAATGTACATATTGTATACGAACTTCCTTATATTTCTTGAATGAACGTTTCAATGATATTATTCAAGGTGATATATCTATAATCCTTTAATTGGTGATATATCCTTTAAATTTATAATACTTTTTTATATTTAATTATATTAATATAATTTTAACTCCTGTTGAATTTTATAATTCTTGGACGAATTTAGATAAAAAGTAAATAAATAAACGTTAATAGATTTTTCATTTTGGCATTTCCTTGAAAGAAAGCACGGATATAAACTCCCTATATTCTCCGCTTCTGTCTCGGATATATATTATTATTATTGGATCTAATTTTAAAAGCCGGTTAAAAATAAAACGACTATAAAATTACGTACTTCCTGCAGTGAAAAATATACCGAAAATTCTCCAATTTAAATGAAACAAAGTAAATACGAAAAAAAATACTGTTAGAAAAAACACCAACACACAAAACATTAAAACATAATTATAATTATTTAAATAATATTTTTATTTAATGTTTCTCTTTTTTGGTATAACAAATATATATATTTCTTTTATACTTAACACTTATTAAGTAATGAAT